TCCTGAATACTGTTTTGACTGGCAGATTAAGAAACAGACACGTAATTTGTAGTGAATTTTTCTCTCCGTGTAATGAAGCTGTAAGTTTTACTAGTGATACGCGCGCAGAGATGATGTTTGTAGCATTTTTTGAAGGGGATTCGAAATGCGGCAAAACGGGACTCCTTTACAAAAACTATATATCAGTGAAAGAAATAATTGAATACCATAAAAATGATTCATAATTGCAAACTGTTCACAACTGAACTAAAGCATTGTTTTTTTCACTTTGTTAGGCTTGATAGGCTCTGAGGCTAACCTCAGGTAGGCGCAGAGTTGCTGCCATAAAATTATTGAGGCTCCAATTACAATGTCCCTGGGACCTGACAAAATTAATGTCGCTGCAGTATATACGCGTGCTAAAGGTAGCGCCGGGAGACTGCGCATGCACGTGATTGTAGTGCGAGAGCAAAAATCTTTTTTTTTTCTCCATGATTATTTCCAGAAAACTATTAAATCCGAATCACCATTTATTATATACATCTATATATGACGTATTTTCTATCCATGCAGCCACTTGATTTTGTCAAGGCCTCGAAAAAATCTGAAGGAATACTGTACTTTTATGCTCGTTACACGTATCCTCTAAAATTTGAACAGTAGTATATTTCTCACCTACAGAGGATAAACAAATAAGTCTTCCCCACGTGCGAAATTGGCGCCCGAGCTGAACGCGAGGGTGCTAAGAGCATGGAGAAGGCTTATCTGTGTTTCCTACGGCGTAGGCAAGAAGGGCAACTTTGCTCCCACGCAGCGGGAGGAAAGTTACCACTTTCTGGCCGCCGAATTGAAAAATTTTAAAACCTTACCAAAGAGATAAACGTTTGAGATAAGCCTTTTTTTAATACTTTCAATGAATTGTTGTAATCGGAAAACATTGCATCTACCTAATCCAATCATCGTCAAGGAATTTCCTCTAATGTCATAAGATGTGGAACACTACATAAATGTCTCGTCTTCCATGAAAAACATTTATTTATGTTTCTTAAAGTCTTCAAATTCAACATTTATCGATGGAAATAAAAGCGTGATGCACGTAAATTGAAAAGAAAAAAAGTACATCACCAATTTTTCGAATTTTCATCACCACTGACATTTTGACTCATTTGTTCATAAGTCACTCACGCATGTTCAGAAAATTCCCCATTTTTCCTCTCACGTCTTCTGTTTCCAATTTTCTTAATAACTTCGGATGACCTATAAAACTCAGGTTTACAAGAATCTCACGTTGATATTCACCGCTAACAGTGAAATGAATGTGTTTGCAATTCTTTGTGATCATGCCGAAAACGACGATTTTTTTTACTCTTATCTTTAATAAACTTAAATTATTTTTTTTTCTGGTACAATCTGGAATGTTTTCCCAACTTGGTAGTACTGAAAGAATTTTTAACCAAATACAAATTAAAAAAATTGATGTCTAGCCGGGAAAGCAATTATATGAAAAAGATATCGAATCTACTATACCAAATCGTAATTTAAGTTGTGGCTGGCTGATAGGTATAAAACATATAGATATTCTTTTTGTACACAGATATAAGTATGCTATTAATTGCCACTCTTGGCTAGTTCGAAAAATCATGCGTCAAATCTTTCCTAAGATTAAACAACACTGATAATATTTTTAATTGTAAAATGTGAAATGTAAAATTTCCTATTTTATAGTTCCCACCACCAAATTTCTAGTAAATATCCCCACTACATTTGCGTACGCGATAGGTATCATGGGTCCGAAGGGGTTCAACCATAAACTTTATGGCTAAGGGTAATTGAGTACCGATAGCTCAGGCTACCCACCTCTGCCATAAATGAGGGATAAAGTCAATGCTTGTCAGA